AAACAGTCAAATAACAGCAGACTACTTAAAACAGAAAGATCTGTTCTGTGCCAACCTGGGCAAAAGTGAGACCCTATCATTAAAATAACCAGAACAGCAAGTGCTTGGAGGTATGGTACACACTGTAGAGCACGTGTGTAGTAAGCTTGAAGTCCTGAGTTCAAGCCCTCATACCACCAAAAATCCCCAAATTAATTAATTATGGCCATATATTAAGTTTAACTGAAATTCAGCCATGCTTATTGTTTATGTGTTGTCAATGTCTGTTTTCACAGTATGTGGCAAAATGGAGTGGTGGTGGCTGGCATCATATGCCACCAAATCTTAGAAAAAGTTTTGGCTTTTGCACAAAAAGTTTTCTGGGCTTGTATTCCTAGAATCTCTGAGCCTAAACTCAACCTTATGAGGGCAGATAGCCTCCTGACTCTAATCTAATCATATGTGAGAACATCAATAAGAAAAGTGATAATATCACAAAATTAGCTGAGATCTTTCAGTTGTGATGTGTTTAAACAAAAGAATCTAAAGGGAGAGGAGCACACATTTATGCATACCATTTTTGCCAGATTTCAGTTATTTAAATATGATGTTCATTTTATGACTCATTATATGATATTTTGATGAATGTTTCACTTACTCTTGAAAAGAATGTGTATGTTGCAATAATTAGGTTCAGTCCTTCTATATCCTTCCTGATTTTCAGTTGACTTTCATCTATTAATTACTGAGAAAAGAGTGTTGATTCTGCAATTATGTTTCTATGTATGTAAATTTCACTTCTTTTCTTTACTTTTTCCTTTATCATTGTGCTGAGTGGGAGTATATTGTGGCACTTACAGAAGTTCTTAGAATGTATCAAATATATCACACTTGAATTCACCCCCTCCACCACTCTCCATTATGTCCCAACCCCAATTCCTGAAGTAATTTCAACAGGTATCATTTTTTAATTTACACCCATGTGTATACATTATTTCCATCATATTCATCCTCCTACCTTTTACCCCACCACCTGCTCCCTCTCACTGGTGGTAACACCAATCTCTTCCCACCCAAAGAACCTGTTCTACCCTACTATTCTCCAATTTCCTAGAAGAAAAATGATGAAAGATAAAAGAAAAACATGCTGTTTGGGCTAGTTTGAGATAAAGATAGCTACACAAGGAGTGTCTGTGTGTTGTTTTCATGCACATATGTATTACAGTCCCACCCAATTGGTTCATCTCCTCTAACTCTCTTCACTCCTCCCTAGTTCCCTTTCCGTGGTGGCCCCAGCCAGTTTCAGATTCCTGTATTCATTCCTGTTCAGAGAGCATATTGACCACATTCAAGTTTTTAGTTTCCTTTCCTTTCCCTATCCCTCCCATGTGAGATCTCCCCTTAGTGTGGCCTGTGTCACATAATGTTGATGCCATCCAGATTTGGACTTGTCTTTGCAGGGAGGTTCCTTATAACTGTCTCACAACTTGTTTATAGCTCTGCTTAAGTTCTTCATGTCCTCTTGGTTCAGTTTTTGTAAGTCATATGTGGTAAGAAATTTATCATTTTCCTTTTGATTTTCCAGTTTGCTTGAGTATAGGTTTTCAAAATATTCCCATATGATCTTTTGAATTTGTTTTGCTGTCTGTTGAAATATTTCCTTTTCATCTCTTATTTTATTAATTTGAATATTCCCCTGTCTTCTTTTGGGTGGTTTGGCTAAAGGTTTGTTGATCTTTTTTTATCTTTTTTCAAATAAGCTACTTTTTATTTCAATGATACATTATATTCTTCTCTGGACCTCCATTTCATTAATTTTGGGCCAAGGTTTTATAATTTCTTTCTATCTATTACTCTTTGAATTGGTTTATTCTTGTTTTTGTAAGAGTATGCAGTGCATTATCAGATTAAATTATCTAAAGTGCATTATTTATTCTTTATTATTTCTTATCATTTACTTATTGAGTGCATTATTTTAAAACTCTCTGATTTTCTCATGTGAGCACTCATGGCTATAAACTTCCCTCTTTAAGACTGCTTGTGCTGTGGCACAGACCTGACAAGTTGTATTCTCATTTTTCATTTGAATCTAAGAATCTCTTAATCTCTTTCTTAATTTCTTCAGTGACTCATTGATATTTCAAGAGTGTGTTGTTCTCCATGAGTTTGAATGGTTTTTCTAGTTTTCCATTGATTTCTAATTTTGTTACATTATAGGTATACAGTATTCTTGGTTAACAGCTAATCTCCCTCACAGCTTGAATTATCTTCTTCTAAGATTTCTTGGCTTTTAGAGTTTGTGCTGACAGGCCTGAGGTGATTCTTATTTTTATGTGAGCTGGTGTTCTTTTTCTTGTAGCTTTCAGCATTATTTCTTTGGTTAATTGTTTAATCAATGGCCATGATAAATATTAAAAATTTTAAATATAAACTTAAGTGTGTGTATTTATTAGATATTATTTTTAAATTTTTAGGTTTTAATAAGTAATATCAGAAAATATGGAATTAAACTGAGTTTTCTTGGGTATTTTATGTTCCAGAGAAAATCTGCTAAATCAGCTACCATCAGGCTTGTTTTTCAAACATATGAGCTATTTTACAAGGATGAAAAGAACTATTATTAATTATTAAAAATGAAACAAAAATGTGTGGAATTTTTAAAGCCAAAGTTGATTTTATATAAAGAACAAGACCTTGTATGCTTATCCTAACTTAACTTCAAATTCCAAAATTATGCTATGAAATCATATCAGACAAATTATTTCATATATTATAGTCTCTCTCAAATTCTGCATACATTTAGTACTTTCTTCCTGATTTTTGTTACATTTTTAAGAGCTGGTCACTAAATTCTATGATGAATAATAGAAAATACTTACTTTAGTTATCTCCATATTGATCAAAGATCAAAATCATAAAAGGTAAGACTTTTTTCTGACAAAAATGTCCAGATATAATGTGCACAGTCCTGAATTGCATACAATAAGATAGATGAGAAAAGGCAAGCATCATTTTAGTGCAATCTTCTATAAATGGGAAACTTTTCTAAATGAATTATTTTTGTAGTAAGGTGATGATGCTGTTATAAAATAATTATACAGCCACTTCCCTAATTACAGTGACTCAATTTATAGAACATTTAAATGAGTCAATTACCAAGGAACCCCATTGTGAAAGGATTAGATTTTCTTATGTTTTAGCACATGCATACATACACATACATATATCAGGTACAGAATCAGCGAATAACAGAGAAGAATCATACATCGGGAAACGAATGTGCATGGAGATTTTATCCTATACAAAAAGGGAGGATGATGTCAAATTGTCATTTTCAAAGGGAATAAGTTACACAAACCATTTTTTCTTAGGCCAAAACCAAATATTATTATGGTGGGAATTAAAATGAAACAACTAACAAATGATCTAACAATGTTAGCATCTTCGGATTCTAGGTGGTGGTCTGCATTTCTAAGAATGTTTATAAGTAAGTCAGTTTAATGAACTAGAATGTGACATTTTGAAAAGGTCAGAAGTAATTATGAGATTTGTTGCTACAATTTTACCAAAATATCTAAAACAAAAAAAATTTCAGTAGCTTAAATACTAAAAATAAATTATTTGCTTTTATTTAAATACCATGAATAGTGACAAAAGATCCAGATTTAAGGGATAGTAACTGGGGATGTGCAGTTATATTTTAATAGGTGAGAAAAATTCTAAGGCAAAAAAATGATTTGCAACTTAGTAAAAAGGCAATAGAAATATATGACATTTAACATTACAAATTAAGGACAAAATATTTATAAATTCCCTCTTATTGCTCATTGTTAAAGTCACACAACAATTTTTAAATATCCAATAATGTTCAAGGATGAGGAATGAACTTTAAGACACAATAAGATTCACCAGACAATAAAAACTCTCACTATGATTTTTCAGTATTTTTACTACTGTATGTGGCAAGTCTCTCTTGTGAAACTTTTAACTATTTTGTTTCTTTAGCACAACTCCCACATACAATGAATAATTTAGTCATAATTCTAATTAAAAACTGAGTAGGAACACCACAGCCCATGAGTGTTTCAAGGCAGTGTCATCTGTTACTTTAATTTTGTTGTCTGAAATGGCTCTAAGCAGTTCAGGAAAATACGTGGAGAATTGGAAATACAGACCAAATCAGTTTTGCAAAAACACTGTTAAGGGCTGGAGGTGTTGCTCAAGCAGTAGAGTGACTCCATAGCATGAAGCCCTGAGTTCAAACCCCAGTACTGTCAAAAGAAAAAAAAAGAAACACTTTTAAGATGCTTTTTATTTCATAGTTATTGTGTCTCGTGTGTCGTGTAATTGACCTTACAATTTATATGGTTTCACATTTCAAAAAGATTATGTAATCTATAATCATGGATTATTGATAAATAAACCATTAAATCATCTCCATAATATACATGTAATACAATAAAGTTCTTCTTTTATTTTTATTTATTTTTTTTATTTTTTGTTATTCAACCATGACCATTTGTTTTTATTGTTGCACTAGGGGTTCATCCCCATTCGTATAAACAGTTTTAGGAGCTGTGTTGAGTTTCAAAGAGGTTAACCACCTTTACCATGGCATGGAACAATTCTGAGGTGCCAAATGGATCAAATACAAATGTTCTCAGAATGGCATGCTGTGTCCTCGACAGCCACTTACACCCCACTGGCTTCACTTGCTAGTCACAGGCTCGCTGTTCCTGAGATGGCAGCTTCTTGTTCATCATTGCAGGAAGGATCACGTGACTCTCAAGTCCAGTAGAGGTTTGGGGAACCTTCCGGAGCATCACTGAGAGATCTCATTATCGAGAGACAAAACTCCCGATCCTAGAAACTGCCGTCTTTCTTCCTTCCCTCTTTTCCTCCTTCCCCTTTCCTTCCCTCCCTCCTTTCTCTCCTTCCTCCATCCCTCCCTCCCTCCTTCCTTCTTTACTTTGCTCCCTCCTTCCTTCCTTGCTCTCCTTCCCTCCTTCCCTTCCTTTTTTTGGCAGTACTGGGGATTGAACCCAGGGGCCTCTTGCATGCTAGGCAAGCACTCTACCACTTGAGCCACACCCCCAATCCTGTAGCTTGTTTTTAATTTTCTTTTTTTCTTAATTTTTATTTTTTTATTGTTCATATGTGCATACAATGCTTATTAGCTAGCATTTGTTGCCCTCAATGCAGAGAAACTAAAGCAGATACCTTAAAAGCAACTGAGGCCAACAGGAGAAGGGGACCAGGAACTAGAGAAAAGGTTAGATCAAAAAGAAAAAAAAATTCTTCTTTTAATAGCTGACCTTCCTCAATGGTTCAAACTATTTTAAAATTATGAGTGACAGCTGTATTTCAAAACATCTAATATTCACCCATGCTTAGGGACTTAAACAAAAGCATAGTACTTCAAATGCGGAGATTCCGTGATGCCTAGTATATCTGTGCAAATCTGGGAAATGCCCAAGGTTGAAAGTATATTACTTCAGTTTTCTGAGGCAATTTGTTTGCTGAAAGGAACTTGTTGACACATTTATGGCAGCAGCTTACAAACAAGGAAAAACAGGAAAACAAAGAAAACCCTGCAACATACCCTACCAGGGAATGTCTGTGAGCAGATGCTTTCATCTCATTCACTTTGCACTGTTGATTGTAAGGAAAGATAAAGGTGTAAAATTCCACTAAGGAAGAGTAAAATATGGTCCCTTAAAATGTTTGACTCAGCAGTTTCATAAATATTTGCAAGCATTTTGAAGATACTGTGAAGAAAAATTGCTAACATAAGCTTTTTTCTGTTTTGAAAAACTATTTTCTTATTCCATAGTGCTGGTAGGGATTGAACCCTGGGATTGTCGTACAGGCTAGCAAGTGCTCTAACATTGATCTAAATCCCTAACCCGTTTAAATTTTATTTTCATTATTATTTTGAGATAGTGTCTCTCACTATAGCATAACATGTACTTGTACTCACTATATATCCTAAACTGGCCTTCAACTTGTGGCCCTTTGATCAGCCTCAAAAGTACCTGGGATTATAGGCATACACAGCCATGCCTGGCCCAGAATAACATTAAATATATGTAATATATCAAAAAGGAATTATTACAATCTGCTTAATGGTGCATGATTATAATTCTATCACTTGGGAGGCTGACACAGGAGGATCATGAGCTGCAGGCCAGCCTGCACTACAAAGGGATAGCCTCTCTGATGATTCCTTGGATTTCTGTGGTGTTTGTTGTTACCTCCTAATTTCTGATTTTCCTTATTTGAGTTTTTTCTCTCCTCATTTTAGTCAGGTTTGCCAGGGGTCTGTCAATCTTATTTATTTCTTCAAAGAACCAAATTTTGTTTCATTCATTCCTTTTATGTTTTTTCATTTTTGTTGTTGTTGTTTCTGTTTCATTGATTTTGGCCCTAATTTTTATTATTTTTCTCCTTCAGATTTTTGGGGATTTGCTTGTTCTTATTTTTCTAGGAGTTTGAGATGTAGTGTAAAGTCATTGATTTGAGATATTTCTGTCCTTTTAATATATGCACTCATGGCTATAAACTTTCCTCTTAGGACTGCCTTTTCTGTGTTCCAAAAGTCCCATTGTGTCCTGTTTTTATTTTCATGAACTTCCAGGAACCTTTTAATTTCTTCTTTTGCTTCATCAATGACTCATTGATTATTGAGCAATGTGTTGTTCAGCTTCCAATTATTAGCATGTTTTCTACTATTGTTTTAGTTGTTGAATTTTAGTTTCATTGCACTATGATTAGATAGAATGCATGGGATTATTTCTCTTTTCTTATATTTGCTGAGGCTTGCTTTTGCCCTAAGGTATAATCAATTTTGGAGAAGGTTCCATGTGCTGCTGAAAACAATGTATATTGTGCAGAAATTGGATGAAATATTCTGTAGACATTAGCTAGGTCCATTTGATCTATGGTGTGATTTATTTCTAGAATTTCTTTATTGATTTTTTTGTTTGAATGACCTATCTATTGGTGATAGAAGGTATTAAGTTCTCCAGCTATTATGTGTTGAAGTTTACATATGTTTTTAGGTCCTTTAGAGTATGTTTGATGAAATTGGGTGCACTGACATTGGTTGCATATAGATAGATAATTGTTATTTTCTTTTGGTGCATTTATCCTTTCATTAGTACAGAGTGTTCTTCTTTATCTCATTTGATCAATGTAAGTTGGCAGTAAACTTTGTCTGAGATAAGTATTGCTACTTCTGTCTGTTTTTTTGGGTTCTACTGGCTTGATAAATCTTCTTCCAGCCTTTTACCCTAAGCCAGTGCTTGTTTCTGTCAAGGAGGTGGGTATTCTGTAAACAACAGATTGTTGGATCTTCCTTTTTAATCCAGTTTGACAAATGGTGTCTTTTAATGGGGGAGTTAAGTCTGTTGAAATTCAGCGTTTGTATTGATAGGTATGTGCTGATTTCTGTCATTTAGCCGCTTTTGTTGTTTAAGGGTTTGATTGTGTGCAGCTGAATCAATGTTACTATCTGACTCCTTTTTTTTTTTCTTCTCCTGTGGTTCAGTACTTCCTGTCCTCATGGTTTTGTTAGTTTTCATTTTCTGTGTGCAGAATTCCTTGAAGAATCTTTTGTAGTGATGGCTTGTTGGTCATATATTGTTTAGGTTCTGCTTATCATGGAAGACTTTTATTGCCCATCTATTTTGAATGATAGTTTTGCTGGATAGAGTATCCTAGGGTTGAAGTAATTTTCATTCAATACCTGGAATACCTCACTACATGCCCTTCTTGCTTTTAAGGTTTCTGTTGAGAAATCTGCTGTGAGTTTGATGTGTTTACCTTTGTATACTATTTGTTTTTTCTCTCTTACAGCCTTCAATATTCCTTCTCTATTCTCTGGGCTTGTTGTTTTAATGATAATATATCATGAGGAATTTCTATTTTGGTCAAGTCTTTTTGGTGTCCTGGAGGCTTCCTGTATGTGAATGGGCATTACTTTCTCTAGATTTGGGAAATTTTCTGTGGTTATTTATTGAATATATTCCAAATCCCTTTTGCTTGGACCTCTTCTCCTTCTTCAATGCCCATGATTTTCAGGTTTGGTCTTTTGATGGAGTCAGTGAGTTCTTTCATATTCCTTTTGCAGGACTCAAGTTGTTTGACTAATAGCTCTGCAGTTTTTCCTTTAATTTCCATTTCATCTTCAAGTTCTGAGATTCTGTCTTTTATTTGTTCTACTCTGCTGGAATTGCCTTCCACTGTGTTTTAGTCTTTCTGTTTGCTTCTTTTTTCTGAGTTTTCTGTATCATGGGTCACTTTCTCCTTAATATTGTCTATTTTCATCTTTAATTCATTTCTCTCTCTATTGTAGTGTTCTCTGTTTCACTTTCATGTTTATTTAGGGCTCCTATGAGTTCATTTATTTGTTTCTGGGTCTTCTCGTATTCTTTATTTTTGGTGTCTTGAAATTTTTTGAGTGCCTCTTGTACATTTTGGTTAAAAGTGTCTAGTAATGTCCATGAAATTCTCATTGATAACTTGCAGGATTTCTTCTTTGTGGGTGTTCTTGTGGACATGATTGGGTTCCTTGGTGTCATTTATCTTTGTTTTGTTGAAGTCTTTAGCTGAGTATCCTTTTTCTTCATTTCTCTTTGAATCCTGAGTTAAATTATTTTTTGAAGAACAATTCTTTCCATCCTTTTGTCTTCTTCCCATCATTCCACTTGTTACTGTGCAACTGTTTTCTTGATAGGCTAGCTGGTAGTTTCAGTCACCTGTTTTCTTTCCCTGGATTTAATTTTTGTTTTGTGGCTGTCTTGGGGTTTTATCTATATGTGTGTGTGTTTGTTGTATTTCTGCTCCTGGTCTGGGTATAATTTAGTATTAATTAATTCACAGGATTAATACTCAACCAGTAGTTCATGTGTTGTATAGAAGATCCCCTGGTGGTAATATCTATAAGCAGTGGGAGTTGGGAGAGGGTTAACATTTGTAATATTAGCTATAGAAATTTAGGGAGTTGGATAGGGTGGCACTGAAGGTGGAGATGGGAAATGGGGTGGGTGAGTGGGGGAAGCAGTGTGGAGGCTGCTCTTTTTGTGGTCCTTCTGTGTGTTTGTGTATATTTCTGTTATTGTAGAAGAGAGTGTTTGTGTTAGGGATTGCAGGGGTTTGGGGTTGTGTCAAGTTAGTGTAGTAGGTTGTTCTGTGGGTGATGAGTGTGAAGGATGTAGGGATAGTCTGGTGATAGGTGAGGGGAGAATGGGAGGGGAAGATGAGTGCTGGGGGAAGAGAGTGGGTAGAGGGGACAGAACAAATTGTTGGATGGGTAGCAATGTGTTCTAGCACAGGTGAAGTATGGAGAATGAAAGGGGTGAGAATAGGGATGAGAGGAGGCTGGTGGCCAAGTTGATAGTATAGAAGGAGAAAAGAAAAAAAGATAATAAGAGTAAAAATAAAAATAGAAAAACCACAATAATAAAACTAACAACATAACAACAAAAATAACAAAAAGAAAGAAATCAATGGGGAGAGATGAACAAACAAACAAGAAACATAGAAAACAAGCAAACAAAAAAACACCAGGTTCAGGAGTTTAAAGTAAGAATTTCAATCTTAGTTTTGGTTCTGGTATTACTCCTCCAGCATCCCGTCTTGGTGTTGGTATTTAAGCAGAAGCTCTGGTGTAGTCTTGCCAGGAGATTGGCTTGTGAGTAGTATTTTTTTTTTTTTTCTTCTGTCTTTCAGCAGCAGCTGCTTGGTCAGCTCTTCCCTCAGTGATGTGTGGCAGTTTCATGCGGTCCTCAATTTCAGTAGACTGGCTTTGTAGTCTACCAGCTGTCCTGCTTCGGAGATGGCTTTTGGCTGTGCTTTTTTACTGGGGGCTTGTTTCTTTGCCTCACCCCCTTTCTTGTGGCAAGTTCAGTGATTGGTCAGCCTCCCCTCTGTGTCAATGTGTTGTGATGGTTTGCTGTTTGCTTTTTAATTTTGCAGGGCCATTTGTCTTTGGGTGCTGCTCACTGGCTCAGAAGATGAATATTGTGGTCCACTACCTGCTCAGATTCAGGCAGTGGCTTATCTTCTGCCTGCTGTCAGCCTTCCTGCCTTTCC